TGAAAACTTATATTTCTCCGGCTTTCCTTTACATTCTCTGAAAATTTCATGTCGGTCAGAAATTTTCGTAACAGCTAAAATAACTTTTCTTGAAATCTACCACCTACAACAGTGTAACAAATAAATGTACTGTTCAGAAGTTAAATCGATTAATTGCATAAATTGAAAAGTATAGCGATATATATACGTAATATTACTTCGAAAAACACGTGTTATGTAATAAAGAATTATTCAAAGGATCAGAAGTTGCATGGAATATTAATTCACTTTGCGGTTATCGACAATAAATATCAAAGTCGTTGATTGCATCACTTAATTGATGCAATCAATTCGTAATTTTAGCTTCTGACAGAGAAAAAGATGAAATGGCGAGAGTTTTATTTACGAACGGGATCATCTATGAGCTTTTTAAATCGGTCTTCTATCGTCTGGTTTTTTTTCGGTCGCAAAAGTATAAAAATGGCGGCAATGCGTGGGCACAAACGCAACAGTTTTTCCAAAAGACCTTTCCCAACGAAACCTGTTGCCCCAGTCACTAAGATTGCAGTGTCGGCATAAAATTCCTCGATGGAATTCATTCTATTTGTAGCGCAGATTTTTTCTTTTCCAAATTCGAATATCTGTAAATAAATAAATGTATAACAGGAAGTAAGTGAAAAATTTGGAGAATTGAACAATGCAAGTTTTAATGCTTTACGCAAAATGTTTCGATTTTTTCCAGCTAAATGTTGAACGAATGTGTTCTAGACGTTGAAACAATAGGAATGCAAATAGTTCGAGTTGAATCGCTTTTCAATTTTTTAAATTCATTTTAATGTTACTTAAACTCACGTGAAAAAAGTTTCAAGTATCAGAAACGTAGAATTGATAAAGCTAATCCCTTCACATTTCTGAATGAAGTATCTCACCACACATTATTTTGAACGAATATTTACCATGGTCTGAATTATTTCATGTGTTAGAAAAATAATGTCATTTATTCATAATAGATTTTTCCACTGTTAATTTCTTTCATTATGACATGTGTGTGATACGTATATTTACGATTTCTCTTTTATCCAAAATGTTGGCCGAGATATTTCGAATTTGTATAAAAAGAAACGTACGGACTATTCTCATGATACAATTGAACAATTGAACATGCCAAAGAAATTTGCTTACTTGTTGTTGTTCCATCGTTATAACAAAAGGGCGAAGAGAAGCGTAAGATGCGGTATTACGGAAACACGTTGTCTCAACTAGTGTTGCACGACATCCGCTGTGTAGCTTTTATAGGTTTATGCCCCACTACTATCATGACTACTGCAGGCGGATGGGTGTTTGGTAGCGAAGAAAGCAAATTTCCGTGTTGTCCAGGTTCTACGGTTCGTGGAAACTACAAGATTTATGAATACGATTACTCGTTGTTGAAAGATTGGCGTAGAATTTATACGTCAAATGTTAAAAAATTTTTAAGGATTTCTAATCTGTCAGAAAGAGCTATGTACCGTGAGCGTGTTATGAAGCGTCATTAGCCATAATACCGGTTCTATTGGTTTTATTCTATTTGTTTTATTAAATTTTCTTTCACGTGAAATAACATTGAATAGAATTAGTTTGAAAATTAAAATCACGGATACTGCATAGGCTCCAAGCGAATAGAATGTACAGAGCATAGTGTAATTATTTATGAAAAATGAGGAACATAAAACTTTTTTATCTGATACTTTGTTTTGAAGTCAAGTTTGAAACATATCAAGTAGACAGAAAACAAAAATGAACAAGAGGTTGTTCAACGTGCAAAAATGAGTCAAAAATGTCAAACAAAATTTTCTTCTAACAATGAGATGCCTCATTTTCGAAAAACTATATTTTAAAAGCTTTTTAGCAAACACGCGCATATCAAAATAATTTCTGACGAAACAAAGATTTTATTTTCGTGAAAATGTAGATTTAAATGACGAAATATTATTTTACATTTTTTAATTTATGAGATATTTCAAAATTACATTGAAAAAGTATCTATATATATCCATTATACGTTCATTTATCAAAGAACTATTGACATATATGTTTCACTCGATAGCTGGCAATGCCTTTTTTTTTTAAATTTTATGTTATTCTACGAACAGGAGGTACGACGTTGATAATCTTTGACACGAGCAAGTTTTCAAAATTAATAATTCAAAATTACTACAGTTCAAGGAAACATTATACTAGGAAAGAATTATTTGAATTATGTACGTTAACACTTTCGCGACGAGGGATGTTATTATGTTATGTTAAATTGTTATTATGTGCTTATTTATTAATATATTTTCTATTTCTATTTGTTAATAAATACCACGAAAATTGTCATGCAAAGTAAATATGTGAAAAATGTTACTGTAATTTAATGTGAAATTTGTACTTCTAAATTCATTTTATGAAAAAGAAAATATTTCCATCTATGAAAGTATTCTTCTTTAAGCTCGTCAAGGTGGGCTTGAATGTATTTTGTCCCATTTTTGTGGCACTATGAAGAGGCAACGATGTCATTGTAGAATTGGAATTAAATTTGGCGACTTTCCACGAGGAGCTTCAGGCAAGTTTGTTACAAAATGTAGTATAATTGAATGATAAGCTTAGTTGAGAGTATTTTAAATGCAGTTGTGAAGATTTTGTCCG